AGGCAGTGCTTTCAAAGGGTAAAATGAGGTCACTAGAGTGGTTGCAATCTAATATAACTGATGCCCTGATGAGAAGAGGAGATTTTGGAAAGACCATGTAAAGACACAGGGAGAAGTTGGCCATTAATAAGCTAAAGAGAGAGGCCTCGGAAGAAATCAACCCTCCAACAACTTGATCTCAGACATCTAGACTTCAAAAACTGTGAGGAAATAAATTTCTACTGTTTAAGCCACCCAGTCTGTGGTGCTTTGTCATAGTGCCTCTAGCACACTAATGCACTGCCCAAGCTCAAAACCTTCCAAACCCTTTCATGACCCATCTTCTCAGTTGCCCCTCACTTATCTGAGTCTGGCTGTTATTTGCATATCCTTTCTTAATATCAAGTCAATCTTGCAGGAAATGTTTTCTGAGAGTTACATGCTGAGTAATAAAATGCCCAAGTCCAGGGGATCAGAAAGTAGACAGGTAAAGTCAGCTGGTGGTGACAAGTGGCTTCCAGCTATAATGTTGGATACCTGGGAGGGGGCTATTGGACCTCTTCTCCACAGGTCGAGCTAAGAAAGCAGAAACTTTCTTGTTCTGTACCTGTCCCTCCTCAAAATTGAGGAGTATCTAAGAAAAGGGGGCGATTGAAATGGAGCAGGACCATATGGCCCTTGCCCCGCCACCCCCACCATGTCCTCTGCCCGTCTTTTGCCTGTGGACAACTTGAGTCAAAAAATAAGTTTAATCAGAGAAGTGAGATAATAATAATGTAGTCTCTAAGCACAGTCAAGGACCTTCAGTTCTTTCTCAAGGGCTGTAGATAATATTCTGAACCATATCCTATGAGCTATCTTATAGATACCAAAGCACCAGGTGATGTTAACTACATGATAACCAGACTAGTACCCAGGACTTGAGGTGCCACAATTCCGAGAATTGACCACAGAGATATGGGAACAAATGCACCCTGCAACTGAAGATTAACTCTACCTAAAACAACCAAGATGATGCTAGTCAGGCCACTGATGACCAATTTGAAGATGACTATTACAGATGACTGTGCTGTTTCTGCATGTTGCCCTCTCCCACCCCTCCCCTGCCGACTCTGCCTATAAATCTCTCAACCTCTTCTTATGGGTGTGGGGGGGAGTTGGCCTTTGGACAGATGTCTGCCACCCTACCACCACACTGTTGCCATCATCCGAAATAAAGCAAACTTTCTTTTCCACCAACCTGGCCAGTTTACTGGCTTTTGAGTGGCGAGTAGCTGGACCCACCATGCATACCTTTTGGTAACAGCTTTACAATAAAATACAGGGTAACATTATCCAGTAAACTGTTTTTTTTTTAATAATACAGAAATAGTTAAAAAATAGTGTATTAAATTTCACTACGTAAACCCAGCAATAATGCTAACATCACATCCTACTCAACGGCAGGATCTTAAATCTCTTAAGCTATATTTTGAAGCGTGAAGTATAAAATTCTTGTGAAAATGTTTTCCGGGACAAAAAAACTTATAAAATACTTTACTCATTTGTTTATGCTCTTTGAGTTGGTCCCTGTAAAAAGGTGCCGTGATACCACTAGTCCTTCCAGGACACCCTGGTTTCTCCCTCTTCTCCTTCTAACACCTCATCCCCACCTCTCCTTCCACGTGGCTTCCATCAGATCATCTTCTCCCAAGGAATATGCATTTCTCACTGTTCTAAATGCTTTTCTTGAGTCTTGATTCATTTTCTTTCCATTTCTGATTCTACTACTGCACCAACCCTTTTATCTGTGTGTCTGGGGTCCAAACTCATCAAGAATGGTGACTTAATGGGTTGATTAGGAACCATTCAACACAGGGTTCTGTCTCTTTGGGGCAGAGTTTTCGATGCTACTTGTAAGCTAGTGTTCCAGATGATTGATAAAGTGTGGTCTGGCTTCACCTGGAAGCTTGTTAGAAATGCAGACTCTCAGACCTCTCCCCAGAACTCCTGAGTCAGAATTTGCATGTTAACAAGATCCGCAGTGACTCATATACATGATAATGTTTGAGAAACACTGACCTAATTGCCCCTTTTGATCACTGTGGCAGATTCCCAGATGATACATATACAAGGTTTGGGAAGCACTGATGGAGTTGTCACATTGTATATTGTTATGACCAGGCTGCAGAGTCACATGGCAGAGGCATAGCACTGGACGCGTAAGGAACGAAGTCTGCTTTTCTCAAAAGGTGATAGCATAACTGGCAGGCATGTTTGAGGCTTTGCAGCCATTGGATTTAGACATGGCTCGGAAGACTGAGACATGGACTAATGTCTTAAAGAAGAAATACCATGGACAGTGCTCGACCGCTGGTCCTTGGGATGAGAGCCTTTGTAGGTGGTGGAAAGCGCAATCAAAGGGCAGCTGGTGTGGTTTGTCTCACTCTATCATCACTGGGCTCTGGGAATTGAAATTGTTACTTTACCTTTCTGAGCCTCAGTTTTCTCATTTGTAAAACAGGGATGCCAGTACTCATTTAATACATAGTTTTGGCAAGTTACTGAAAAATGTATCATTAGACAAATAGGTGTTCAATAAATGTTAGCCCCTTCCTTTTTTTTTTTCTTTTTTGTCTTGTAATAACTCAGTAGTTAGTAAAATAAGGTCCTTGAAAAAGTAAAAATAAAAAGATGCTTCATGCAGGGCGGGGGGGTGGGGGGTGGGAGGCTGCACAGGCACTTGGGACTGAGCCTGGGATCTGGGATCTGAGGAGCCCTTGTTTGGGAGTCAGTCTCCTAAAACAAGTCAGCTGTGTTCACTCCCCCTCTGGCTGTTAATTATATTACCACCCTGGGGGCTGAGGCATTGCCCCGAGCCAGTCTCGCTTCTCTCTGTGGCTGGATTGCACCCCTTTGTGGTACAGCCTTCCCACCTACAGCCCAGTCTGATTTTGCACAAAGTGTCGGCCAAGGCTTGCATCGTTGCTGAGACTTCAACTCTAGTGGGTTTTCTTGTTTCCCTGAGCTTTGTTCTACATCCTCACGCCAAACTTTTGCTCAACTCTTGGGTCTGTTGACTTCTTAGATTCTACTCTACCTTCTTTTGCCTTCATATGAGCTCGAATTCCAATACTCCTCTCTTCCATGCCATAAGTCTAAAAGCTAATTTTAATCTGCATCAGATCATGTAAGGTTATATTTTAACTTCCCTTACAGGATTTTATGTTACCTGCACTTGTTTTTAGTGGTTTCCCTAGTGGCTCAGTCGGTAAAGAGTCTGCCTGCAATGCAGGAGACCTGGGTTTGATCCCTGGGTCAGGAAGATCCCCTGGACAAGGAAGTGGCAACCCACTCCTTGCCTGGAGAATTTCATGGACAGAGGAGCCTGGTGGGCTACACTCCATGGGGTCACAAAGAGTCGGACACAACTGAGTGACTAATTTTCACTTTCACACCTGCTTTTAAAGACATTCACTTCAGGGAATTCCCTGGGGGTCCAGTGCGTAGGAATCGACACTTTTACTGCTGGGGGCTCAGGTTCAACCTCTGGTTGGTGAACTAAGATACCACAAGTTATGTGACTCAGCCAAAAAAAATATATATATATATAGACATTTACTTCAGAGTAGCTCTGAAAGTTTAAACCATACTTGAACCAAAGGCCAGATAATGCTCAATAATTATCTGGTACTCCCAGGACCGCAGCAGTGGCCAGTGGCCCCCATGAGTGGGTGTGGAGATCTGCTGACAAGAGCAGTTGTGAGAGTGCAATGCATTCTGTGGGATCTCAATATTAAATTTCATTGAGTTTCTAATTTGCTTTCCGGGCACAGGGTTTGCCAGAGTTGATTCTCTCTTTTGCCTTCCATATTCCTCCCTTCAAGGTAACTTACCCCCATCCTTGTGGCTGAACCCAGACACTCAGGCGAATAATTAGGGGGGTATTAAATTATTGGCTCAACATGTAAAGAGAGCAAAGGCTGAGCGCCACGCGGGAGGGACGCAGAACAGCGGAGAATCCCTGACGCCAGGGCTCCTTGTCCCGTCTCCCACCGGAGCTCTTCTGCCCTGACCCCACTCCTACCCACCCTGCTTCCTAGCCAGCCTCCTGCTCCTCGCCTAGAATGTGGTCTGCTGACAACTTCTGCCTCTCCAGCAGGCCCTTGAGTTCCACTCCTTGCAACCTGTTCATGGAAAGTTCCACCTCCACCCACACACTCTGCTTCTTTCTGCGAGGTCACCTAAGCGGCCACCGCGGTGATCTGTTCCAGTCCTGGGCCCCAGCCTGGCCAGCCCTTCCCCATTTCTGGTTGGGGCCGACAACAAGGCCGGATTTTATTAGCTATATGGCCGCACTCACTGCCTATTCTAAGTGGCTGGTGTGGTGTGGGAAGTATTAGCAGAAAGGGGGAGTCCCCCTTCACTCCAATCTCCCCCCCCCCCACACACACAAAGGCTTAGATTCCTATATCCGTCCTTTCACCTTAAGAGTGATAACCCCCACTGCTTGAATTTTTTTCAGTTCCTTTTAACAATTTTAAACTATCCATGCTCTTGCTAAAATTTGTGTGTACATCTTACACTTCTACGAAGCACGACCCTGGTCTGAGCACGAATGAACTTTAAAAAATAAAGTTAAAGGCAAAAACAATTGAACACACGCACACACACACGTTTGGCAGATTTTCTGCACCGAAAAGAAAAAACAGCACTCCCCCCGCCCCCCGCCCCTCCCCGGGCCCACCCTGCTCCATCCCTAAGTTCCCTGATAAAGATTTCCGAGGGGAAAGGCTGGCACTGGGGCTGTGTCTCTCAGAGGGTAAGTCTCTCTAGGGTACAGTTTTGTTGTTGTTTGTTAAATCAGCATCTCTCCGGGGGCACATGGCCAAGACCCAGGTAACCGTGTAATGTGATAGGAGTGTTTTTCTAAGTTCTGCAAAGACACAGCGCTTTCCGATGGCCACAACAATGTAATTCGCGACCTGGCCCGGGCCCTGGTCCCCGGCTGGCGCGGGCGCGGGGCGGTGTCTCGGCCGGAGCTCCGCGCGGCCCCAGGTGAGTCCCGCGCGCGCCCNGCCCGGCCGCGCCGGCCCCTTCCCATGCGGGCGGCGCGGGCCCTGGGAGGGGCGCCCGCAGCCAGCCGCGCAGCATGCACTGGGGGGTTGGCTTTGCCTCGTCCAGGCCGTGCGTGGTGGATCTGAGCTGGAACCAGAGCGTCTCCTTCTTCGGCTGGTGGGCCGGGTCCGAGGAGCCCTTCTCCTTTTATGGGGACATCATCGCTTTCCCTTTGCAGGATTACGGTGGGATCATGGCAGGGCTGGGCTCCGATCCCTGGTGGAAGAAAACCCTTTACTTGACCGGGGGAGCTTTGCTGGCCGCAGCTGCGTATCTGCTCCACGAACTCCTGGTCATTAGGTGAGCCGGAGAGAGGGCCCCGCGCAGGGGCGCAGAGAGGGGCACCTGGCTAGGGCCGGGCCGGCCCCGCGGTCACGCCGCCCCGCTGCCCGAGTCCTGTCCTTCCCTTTCGCCAGAGGCAGTCCGTGGTCACCCGGCCATGAGGGGCAGTTTCGAATTGACAGGAGAATTAAACTGGTACCGGGAGGGGAAAACACTTGAATCCCTATCGTTTGGTGCTATGGAGCATACTAGTCTGTCATGAAGATCCTAAGTGCAGTGTGTTTGCGACAATAGAAGTAGGCCCTGTAGAAATACTAAGTTACATTTGTATGAAACGCCCTATTTGTTTATAGATGATAGTGCTGGAATATTAACCACTCACCTTAGCTTTTACTTAAAGGTTAGTTTTTCACTGTCCCTCCCCGAGTGTCAGCATCATCGAAAGGCTGGAATTGCACACGCTCCAGGGAGCTCTGGGTCCCTGTGAGGGATGCACAGCGGAGTGTGCGATTTTGATGCAGACTTAACCCGGTTATCTGCTAACCTGGCATTTAAAGCTCAGCACCGTCTTCAGGTTTAAATGCCATTGTTGTGCGAACAGGAGGGGATCTGAGGACTGAACTGTGCCGTAAACACTTGCATCTGCTGCCTGCCGCAGAGTGTTTACACGATTCACACGGAAATAGCAGGAAATGGAGGCCCCGGCTGTTCGTACATTCAGCCGGACGCCAATCTTTGGGTAGCATAATACCGTAGGCTCCAGGGACTAGTGGTTTGGCTAATTGGTACAATTTATGGTTAAAATTTCCATGCCTTTTAGACCTCTGTCTCTGGGAGAGGACCGAAGAGCAGTTTTCAGCAGCTCAAAATGTCCTTCTTGGCCAGTATTTTCTAAAGAGAAAATGTGTCTGCATGCCTTTTTCCCATGGGGAATCCTACACAATAGGTTTATAAACAGAGACAGTGATAGGTGACCTTTAAGGGGCCTGCAGGGATTCCAGGAGAACTTTGTGACAGAATAACAGGTATTTGGAAAATTTCTAGTTTCAGAGAGAGGAAATCATTTAGGTTTGGGGAAGTGTATTGGCTTGCATATTTAGCCATAATTGAGAAGTTTTGCTTTAAGCTTATCATTGAATTCTCTCACTTAGCACAGTGTCTTGAATATCGTTGAACCAAATTTAAGAAAAAATCACATGAATTGTTTCCCTAGATTATTTTATATATTTGCCAGTTTTAGGACTCGATTTCAAGTTAGGTTTCAAGCTATATGAAAAACAAAAACATCTGTGCAAGTAACTGAAATGTCACCCACTTGTTCTGAAATTAAATTCCTGTCCAAAGTCTTCTGAAGATTCTGAACCAGGTGGCTTCTCACCAGTGGTCCACTCTGAGGATGGAGTGAAGCACAGCTTCAGGGGATTGAGTCTAAAACTCGCTTAAACGACCTTGCAGAAATGGGGAGGTGGGTGGGAGAGCTCAGAGTTGACCCTGGGAGCCGGCCATACCCTGGTAGGTGTGTGGTCGCGACTCTCGAGAGCTCTCTGCCCACTTGGATGCTTATTTGAGAATGTGTTTTTGATCTTTGGTTTATTCACTTTTGTTTCTTGACAGATGTTTATATTGAGTAGAGGAACCCTGTTGTAATGCAAATAATAAGCAATTGCCCATTTCTGAGCCCTTAGTAGCGGGCTCTGCTTAGAAGTGCTTTACCTTCCGATGCGTTTAGTCCCTCCTCTGCCACTGCCATTGAATGCTTGATCTCCACTTCTCAGATGAGGACGTTTCAGCTGAGGGAGTTAAGCAATTTGTCCGAGACCACACAGTAAGAGTAGTGGGATCCAGATTCAAATCTGAGAGTGTGTGTCTTCGGCGCTCACACTGTTACTACTTTCTCCTAACAAGTACCACTTGTGGAGTAAGTTTTGATGGCAGAAAGAAAGGAGAATTGGGGCAGTTTCCAGGGAAGACAAGCCTGTGGCAGCGACCTGAGTCTTTGCAACTGCTAAAGGCAAGAAGGGATAGGGAAAGAAAACCCAGGAAAGCGGGGCACTGAGATTCGGAGGTTACAGGATAGAGGCCGTCCCTTGATGTGAAATCCAAGTTTCAGTTGTCAGGGTACCTTAGGCAAAAACTCAGAACAGTCTGGGATGGAAAATCCATCTTGCAACGGCTACACTGTCTGAGTTTATTGTCAATCTTAGTCTTCACCACTGTACTTGGATTTCCTGCTGTGTTGACTTAACCATAATCTATGGGTACGTCTCCAGAGTGGATAGTAAAGTTGACAGGTGAGAATTATTTAGGACATTTATAAGTACCATATAGTAACTAAAGTAGGTACTTAGGATTTTTCTCATATTTTTCCCACCACAGTATTTTTAAAGACATATAGTCTCAGTCCTTTATTTTCCCCTAGTGGAAAGAGACTTGCAGCTCTTCTGAATTCAGTCCAGCGTTTGGAAATGTGTTGTTTGTAAATTGAATGATACCGAAATGACATGTTACCCACAGCTTGTCTGCACTTTAGGCACAGGGGCTCAGCCCGCCCTAGAAAACTTAAGAGAATCAGAGCGGCCCATGCATGGGTCGTGATCTCTGTAAACTACCAGCCCATCGACAGTCCACAGAGGCGTGGGCATCTGTGGTACCCTTCACCATGGGAGCAGGGCTAGTCTTACTGCTCGATAGGTGTTCTCTTTCTCAGTCTTATCCTAAGGCCGCTTTATGTCTAGATGACCTGCTTCTTTGATCCCAAGTTAGAGAGTTTCCTGATGTTGAGGGAGGGCTCTGGAGCCAGACTGGGTTCAAATTCACTCTGCCTTAAACCAGCCATGTAACCCTGGACCCAGGAGTCAACTTGGTTACTAAGTGTGAAATGGAAATAATCTGTGAAATGCGAATAATAATACTAGCCTTCCTCACAGAGGTGATTACATGAGTTAATATGTGACATGCTTAGTAGAATCAGTTAATTGTCAAATCTACAGAGTTTGACCGTATAGTGAGCATTCACTAAAAGATGGCCATCATCAGTTATTATAGGCTTTCATCAGAAAGTTCTGGGCTTGAGTGGCCTGAGTCAAACTGGCTACTTTAATAAAATCAACTGGGAAATGGCCCATTTTGGTGTAGTCGAAGTGCTTGGGAGTTTGGGAACTAGAGTTATTAACAATTTGATCTTAAATTGATATTCCTTGGGCAAATTACTTAACCTCTCTGAACTTCAGTTTCCTTGTCTACTATAAAATATAAGTATGGTATAATATACTAAATTTAGGAACTTCCCTGGTGGTCCAGTGGTTAGGACTCTGTGCTTCAAATGTAAGGTCCTTGGGTTCAGACCTTGGTCAGGGAACTAAAATCCCACATGGTGTGGCCAAAAAAAAATTTTTTTAAATACTAAACTTAAACTATAACGATATTCACTCTATGGTGTTACTGTCAGAATGAAATAATATATAGAATGTACACAAAGTCATTGGCATATGCTAGTTGCATCCATTTTTATTATGACAGAGTCTAAGTTAACCATCAGAACTAAGTTGTTCTGGCCAATGGAGCAGGGAATTTTATGTTTATCTTTTCTTCTTTCAGTTCTTTAATTTTTGCCTGGCTGAATTTACATGAACTTACTCTGACTTGAATTACTTGACTGGACAAGATCAGTTAATTGTCATATCTACAGTTTGCATTTTCTAGAACTAGTCTAAATGGCTTCTTAACTTTAATATCTGACCTCCCAAACATCTCATCTAAATGAAAAAGTTTGTTTTATAGCAAGTATTGTCAAGAGGCAGCAAATATTTTTATTCTTTTGACCAGTATTTTCAAAGTGAGTGGTTTTTAACTCTTTAAGCAGGAATGACACTCACATGGTAGACTTCTCCAAGACAGTTTGTTTTCCTGGAGATTCTGCAGGACATGGGCATCCTTGTGATGCTGGTATGAAGAGCCGGCCCTTGCTTGCTTGGGGAGAAGGATGTGTGGGATTAAACTAGGAACAGTGTGAGGGAACCAGAGGCTCAGGGAAGGCTAAGGGGGAAGAGTGAGGTTTATCTGACTCAGAAATGGTTGGGCAGAGTGAGAGATGGAGGTTGCAGAAGTTCCCGAATATGGAATATGAGCAGCGGAGAAGACCATATCTCTTTGAATGGGAGTGAAGTCCACAGCTGGTACCTAGTGTTTGGTAGCCACGAAAGGTTTACAGATATTGCCTTATTTAGTCCTCACGATAAAGGAGGCAGAATTGGTATGGTCCTCACTTTCCATCTGAGAGTGTAGCTCGGAGGAAGCGGGGCTTGCACCTGACCCCACATGTCCAGAAGCAGAGTCCAGCATTCCATCTGTTACATGGTGGCTCTTGAGACGCTGTGACAAGGACGTCCTCATCACCCAGGAAAGTAGCAAAGGAAGAGACAGGTGTGTGGCCGAGAAGGAAGAGAGGGGAAAGGCAGAGGCTCAGAGCTGTACGCCGTGTGCTGACTTGGAGCCTTGGAGGGAGAGAGGAGGAGAAAGCACCCAGCGGGTAGGCTCCTGGGCACCGTGGGTGAAAGGCCAGGGGAGGCCACGAATGGTTTGGAAGAAGGATCAGCAGAGTCGAGAGTCTCAGGTCCCCTGCAGACTTGAGTCATGGCACAGCAGATCTGCACTGTCCCTCTGAGGTCCTGTGGGTGAAGAGACGGCTTCAGGGTACAGACTCATGGTCGAGAGCATAGGCTCTGACTACACGGTTTAATCCAGGGTCTGCCGTGTACTTGCAGTGGGACTTTGGGTAGGTTTATCTTCTGTGCCTCAGTTTCCTCATCTTCAAAACGTAGATAATAATAGTACCAACCTCATCATGTTATTGTGAAGATTACATGAGATAATACCTGTGAAGCCCTTAGAACAATGCCTGATGCACAGTTAGCCCAGAATACCTTTTTAAATCCATCCAGCGTGTCCCTGGCAGGCAGATGTAGCCAGATGGAGAAGAGGTGGCCCTATCCCAAAGGTACACCTCCTGCCCATGGGTTACAGGGATGGAGAGAGGGTGACTCCCCTGAGCCCAAGCCGTGAGCCTGTGCCGGCATGGTAACAGCAGACTTTGTCAGGTTCTCTTGTGTTTTGACCAAGCTTTCCCCCGTCACAGTGCTTCTGGGTGAGGTAAGGCCCTGTGACAAACAGATGTGTTTATTCCTTGAGGAGCTGCAGCCTCGCAGGGACCTCTGAGGAACTAAGGGACCACATGTATAACACACGGATTGTTCTTTTTTTCTGTTTTGGTTTTGACAGGAAACAGCAAGAGATTGACTCCAAAGATGCTATTATTTTGCATCAGTTTGCAAGACCTAACAATGGTGTCCCCAGTTTATCTCCTTTCTGTTTGAAAATGGAAACTTATTTAAGGATGGCTGACTTACCCTATCAGGTACTTGCGTGCAAATATGTTTTATCCTCATGGCAGCAATATTGGCTGGCAAGGCAGGGTGGCGGGTGATGGAGGGGAGGGGAAGTACTTACTCTCCCAGTGGGGGAAGGGTTTGCTCTTGGTGCCAGAGGAAGTGGGTATGAAAGCAGCGGTGCCCAGTTCTTAGTAGATGCTCAGGAATTTTTATATCCAGTTTAATGAGTGATCTCATTAAATCCAGAAGGGTCTGGATTTTTCATAGGTTTCAGGCAGGGACCATGTTACTTTTCTCCTGACAAAGAGTATTCTTTGGTTAATAGTGTGGATAGGCCTGCTGGGCGGCTGTAAATAAAGGTGGGCCTGACACGGTTCTTTCCTTTAGGTTTCTATTTATTGGAAGAATTGTATTTATCTCTCAGGAATCTTGGGGGCAGAGGATCCAGCAGGCCACCAAGGAGATATTTATAGATTTTGTGAGTTTTTCCCCTGGAACTTTTCACATTCTGTTTGGGTGACTGTCAGTGAAACACTTGCTCATTTCAGCCTTAGAGAGGGAACAGAAGAATGAATGCATTGAAACCTTACATTTTTTTCTGAGTAAGATTGGAACTGTCTCACAAATTTGACAGGTTGTGTTTTCATTGTTGTTCAGTCATATTTAAAAAAAAATTCCCACGTTTTTCTTTTTCACTTAATTTCTAGCCATAGGCATTAAAAAAAAAGTTTGATTTTGTTATTTTTTTAAATTTTATGGTCAAAGCAGGTAGTCTTTGTGATATTAATTCCTTGGAATTGACTGACACTTTAGCTTAGGATATGGCTACTTGTTATAAATGTTGAGAATAAAGGCATTCTCTGAGAGTAGAGCTCTTTTTATATACTTGTTTGAGCATGTTTAGTATATCATTTAGAACTGTTGTATCTGTTTATTTTTTGTCTGCCTCCTCTAGCAGTTTCTGGAAGGACTGAGTTAAAATATTCAAGTATATTTTTTGATTTGTCTCTTTTTTGTCATTCTGTCTATTCTGCCTTTAGGTAAGCGTATGTATATATTCAAGGTTATATTGTTTAGGGCCATATGATATGAAAGATTACATCTTTTACTGTTTTATTTCTTTTTCTGGTATATAGCACTCATCTCTGTCCCTTATGAATTTTTTAACCTTGAGTTATGTATTATCAGATATTCAGATTGATTCTCCAGCTTATTTACCTGGAATATCTTTCTTCATCCTCTATTTTTTTGTGTGTGTGTGTTTGTCTCTTGTAGGCAGTGTATTAGTTATAACCAATTGGAGAGTCCTTAATTGGTGAGTTTAATTTATACTTGTAATAATTATTTTATTAGGACATATTTCTAATATCTTATTTAATATTTTTCTCCTCCCTCTCCTTTTTCTTTTCTTTTTTTTCGTTTCCTGCTGTCTAATAGATAAAAAATTTTTCTTGTCATTTAAAATAAATCCTATTTTTGTTCTTATGGCCGTTGCTCTTAAGATCCCAATTCGTGTTTATTTATCCCTACTCACTTCCTGTATGTGTCAGAATCTGTGTTTGCCTTCTAATGATACAAGTCTGTTAGTAGATTCATGTTAGTCTTGGGCTTCTTTCTTTTCAGGGCTCGTTCCAGGTGTGTGCTATTACCTCATGTTTTAATTCTGAAATTCTGGAAATCCTTTCTCTTTTTATAGTCCTTTTTTGGCTAAGAAAACTTACCAAGTTATTTGACTAGCCTTATTTCCCATATGTCTTATCCTACAAGGTTTATATATATTTTTCTATAAGTACTTCTTTGATGAATGTTTTGAGTAAGCCTTTATTGGGCAAGCCTTCAGTGGATTTGCATGCCCCAGAACATCTTTATTATGCTGCACATTTGATACTTCTTTGTCCAGAGTTCCTTTCCTTCAGAGCTTTAAAAATAATACTCCATTTTCTTTGTGCACTGATGTTGCTGCTGATAAGTCTGATGTTCATCTGGTTCTTTTTCTTTCTCTTTGGAAGTTTTCAGAATCTGCTTTTATGCTCGACTCTTTTTTTTTGTTTAATATCTATTTATTTGGCTGCACCATGTCTTAATTGTGGCAGACGAGATCTTTTAGTTGAGGCATGTGGGATCTAGTTCCCTGACCAGGGATTGAACCCCAGCCACCTGCATTGGGAACGTGGAGTCTTAGCCACTGGACCACCAGGGAAATCCTTAATCTCAACATCCTTAACTGTCATCATACTCTGGCTTGGTGTGGATTTTTATGTATTTTCTTTGGTCCTTTATAAACCTTTTTCATCTGAAGTCTTTAATCTCTTTTTAATCCTGAGAAACTATGCTCTTCACGTATTTCTTTTCCTTTTTTAATTTGTTTCCCCTTCTTCTTTCCTGTTCCTGATTATCCTGGAATCTGGATCCTAGAATCTCTGCTTTTATTTTCTGTTTCTCTGAACCTATCCTTTATCCTTTATTCCTTTCCACTTCCTCCTTGAAGAATTCACTTCTCTGAGCTTCCATTGCATCCCTCTATTCTCTTCTTGTAACCATCCTACTATTTATCTCATCCATTGTGTTCAACTTTGCATTTTTCTTCTTACTATTTCCCCTTGGTTTGTATTACAATCCCTTCCTTTATCCCTTGGAGGATATTTCTTATGCTCATTAATTAAATTGGTATTTCCCAATCATTCTGCCTTATGTTGTATATTTTTAGTGTGCTGCCCTTGTCTTAGTTACTGTACCCCTTAGATGTCTAGTTAATTTGGTTTGAGACCTCCTCTTTCCAGGGATGTTAGCTTCCCTGCCCAGGACTTTGCACTGGGAAAGGTCTAAAGCTTAAGACACAGGCTGTGTGCCTCTGAAGGAATTTAAGTAAAGTAAGGAGGTGAGCCCCAGGCATCCCCACACCACTGTGATTCCTACAGTTTGTTGCATTTCCTCCAGATGGTCAAGGTTCACCATTAAGCTCTTACAAAGCAGCAGCCTTGGGAGGGGTGGTTGTCTTAGCAGGAAGCAGAGCAGCTGCGAGGTTAGAGAGGGAGGTCCCTCACCTAGCCAAGCTTTTGACTGCCTAGTTAATGATATTACCCCTCCAAGTCCTGCCTCCCAGGGGCCTGTGCTTTCTGAGCTGGTTTCTCTACAGAGAGGGCATGTGGGGTGGAGGGGTGTGGCACTGATCCTCCTAAGGCAGGGCTGGGAGAGTTGAATGACGTGCTCAGTTTGGTCACTGGTCCTCTGGGAATATGACACTAAACCTGGATTTCAGGCTGGGAGATCTGGGAGAGCAGAAGATGCTGGGAAAGATTGAAGGCAGGAGGAGAAGGGGACGACAGAGGATGAGATGGTTGGATGGCATCATTGACTCAATAGACATGAGTTTGATTAAGCTCTGGGAGTTGGTGATGGACAGGGAAGCCTGGCGTGCTGCAGTCCATGGGGTCGCAGAATCGGACACAACTGAGTGACAGAACTGAAGGTGATCCAGGTCTTAGACTCACAGAGGGTCTTTGTGAGTGGAACTGGAATGCAAGGGGTGAGTCTGGACAGAGAGGCGGGGAGATTATTCAGGATTTTGGAAGCCAGCAGTGGAGGAGAAAATAGCAAAAGACCCCACAAGGCTTGAATCATTGTTCAGTTGGATTTGAAAGACCCTTGTTCAGCTTGGGGTGGGCAGTCAGAGCTTGAAGGCGTGTGTCCCCGAGGGACTCACACTGGAGGGAGAGACTGCTCCCCAGCGGCCGCTTGCAACTGGCCCCTCATCACTCCCCGCCACATCACTGCGTTTAGCCGTGACCGCTTCTGGGCGTGAGGGCCCGGACCTGGGCTTTCTGCTCTGTGGCCTCCTGGCTTGCTAGATTTCCTGTGCCCCCCGCCCTTGGTGAAGTCATCCTGTCGGCAGTGGTGAGGCAGCTGCCAGGCTGTGTTACCTTTTCCTTCTCTGGTGGTTCAGACAGTAAAGAATCCGCCTGCAATGCGGGAGACCTGGGTTTGATCCCTGGGTCGGGAAGATCTCTTGGAGAAGGGAATGGCAGCCCACTCCAGTAGTCTTGCCTGGAGAATCCCGTGGGCAGAGGAGCCTGGTGGGCTACAGTCTATGGGATCACAAAGAGTTGGACACTAACACTTTCCTTTTAAAAAACAGAAGGTAGATGATACCATTAAAAAAATAATATTTATTTATTTTTGCCTGCACTGGGTCTTCACTGCTGCACGTGGGTTTTCTCTCGTTGCGGCTCCTGGGCTCTAGGGAGCAGCCTCAGTAGCTATAGTGCATGGGCTTCATCACTCCATGGCCTGCGGGATCTTCCTGGATCGAAACTGTGTCCCTTGCATTGGCAGGAAGATTCTTAACCACCGGACCACCAGGGAAGTCCTGCCCTTTGTCCTTCTTGCCTTCAAGCCGTCAAGCTCTAAGTGCTCTCCCAGTGGCCTAACCACTGCTGGTCATGTTTCAGGCTTCTGCTTTTCGTTAGCATAGCTGGAGCAGCTGGACACATGCCTGGCTCTGAAGCCTGGAGAAACCTTTAAGAGGGGGACTGCTTACCCCTTCTAAAATGATTATTTCCTGTTAAGTTATATTTTTTTATGAAAGGAGTGATACTGGAGTGTTTCTTCTTCTGTGAGGTCTCTATGGAAAATAAATGAAGTGGGTGTTCATCGGGGTAGGTAACAGGAAGATGGTTTTATGATTTAGAAAGGGATGCTCTGATCCTGTCTCGGGGGTGGGGGTGGGGATGGGGATCCTTTGAGACCTCATGCGTCCTCAGTGAGGGTTTGTGTTGTTGCTGGTGGTGCCTGGGAAGGACTATTTGGGCTCTCTGCTTGGAGGATCAGGAGAGAGGTATTTTGTCATCAACCCAGGGAGCACTGCCCTCTGCCCCTTCTTTGCCCTGTGCCTTTTAAAAAAAGATTAAAATGTCATGTTCCTAAGAGCATGACTTTATATTTGAAGCTTTTTTATTTTTTAATCGAAATGAGACAGGGATAAATATTTGATGACCATTAGTAGGAACTCACAAGGGTTTTCTTAAAAAGCCTTTGTTGCAGTTGTTAGCTTTTTTAAAATAAGGATATAAATATTGGGTAGATGAATTTTTAAAACTTCATTTTGTTATAATTATAGATTCATAGGAAGTTACCAAAAGATGTAAGGAGGTCCTGCAGATATGGTTATTTTTTTTTTCAAAATGAAAACAGCTTTACCATTTGTTTTTCTGATTACATTTGGATGACATGGCCCTTATAAGAATTTTAACAGTTTCAACAAAGTGTCAGTGGAAAATGAAAATCGATGATATCCTACTAGCTGGAGATTATCATCACAAATAATAAGCATCTTTCCATATTTCTTTTTAGACATACATACATAAAGACATACATACATAAGGGCTCCCCTAGTGGCTCAGATGGTAAAGAATCTGCCTGCAATGAGGGAGACCTGGGTTTGATCTCTGGATCAGGAAGAGCCCCCAGAGAAGGGAATGGCTACCCACTCCAGCTCTGGCTGGAGAATCCCATGGACAGAAGAGCCTGGTGGGCTACAGTCCATGGGGTCACAAAAGAGTTAGACATGACTGAGTGACTTTCACATAAAGGTACCTGCATCATTTGCCATAACTGATTGTATAAGAAGCATGTATTTCACACAGTCATTCTTTTTAAATCTGAGAAAGAAAAGAGAAGGAAATGGTTCTTTTCAAAACTCTGCTCTGGTTCTTAGCTATAACTTCTGATGTTCTATTTATTTGCTGTTTTTGTTTGTACACCACCCTCCTGCCTATACCACCCCCACCATCTTTTTTTTTACTTTAGGGTGCATCTTCAAAAGAGAAGGACATTCTTCTACAAAACTGTAGTGTGTAGTTATAAAGGGAAGTACTCAGATTTTTCCTTCCTGTGTAGGGGAAACCAGTCTCTCCCTACTATGTGTTTCTCCCCATGAGTCTCCTTTGCGACTCACATGAAACACTTCATTTCTGACTCTTCTGGTCAAACATGAGGCCCACAGCAGTCAGTCCTCTCTGACACCAGCTGGACGTTATTCAGTCACTCAGTCGTGTCCGACTCTTTGCAACTTTGCGACCCCATGGACTGTAACACGCGAGGCTTCCCTGTCCATCCCCATCTCCTGAAGCTTGCTCAAACTCATGTCCATTGAGTTGGTGATGTCATCCAACCATCTCATCCTCTGTCGTCCCTGCCTTCAGCTGGACAACCTACACTTTAGTTCAATCCTGATGCTACCCAGAGGCAGCATCAGATTCCCTGGGTTAAGTCCCACAAGACTGCCCCCTGCTTTAGATGCTAGTCAGAATCCCAGATTGTCACCTGTGCTTCTGACCAACCAACTGTAGATCAGAGGTTCTAATGACCCCTCCTTAGGTTTGATTACTAGTCTAGAGCAGCTCACAGGACTCAGGGAAACACTTATGTTTACCAGCTTACTGAAGGATTTGGTGAAGGACACAGATGAACAACTAAATGAAGAGGGATGTGTGAGAGGGTCCTGAGTAGGAACGTCTGTTCTTGTGGATTTGGGAGTATCACCCTCCCATTGTGGATGTGTTCACTGGCCTGGAGGCTCTTCAAGTCCCATACTTTGGGGATTTTTGTGGAGGCTTCCTCAAGTAGTGTGCACATGTGTGCTAAGTCATTTCACTCATGTCTGACTCTGTGACCCTGTGGCCTGTATGACCCTATGACCCTGTGACCTGTAGCCCACCAGGCTCCTCTGTCCATGGGATTCTCCAGGCAAGAATACTGGAGTGGGTTGCCATGCCCTCCTCCAGGGGACCTTCCCGACCCAGGATTGAACCTGCATCTCTTAATATCTCCTGCATTGGCAGGTGGGTTCTTTAGGGAAGCCCTCCTCCATTATTTGTGACCGGTTAAAAACTCCATGTCCAAGCCCTCTCTGCTCTCTGGAAGATGGGGGAGGAGGTTGAAAATGCTAAGCTTCTAATTGTGACTTGGTCTTTCTGGTGACCAGTTTATCCAGGAACCCACTCAGAGTCACCTCTTCAGAACAAAAGGTTTTCCTCCTGCTCTGATCACTTAGGAATTTATAAGGATTTTAGGAGCTCTGTGCTGTGAACCAAGGGCAGAGATTTATGCATATATTTCTTATTCATAATAATGGATGCATGAATTTTTTTCTCAACATGTTATATAATCCACAAAAGGTGCTCAAATTAGCTCAAATTTACCCAGTGGGGGACCTTTCAAGATGGTTCCAGAGGTGCTGTGAATGTAATGGATACAAATTTAACTGAAAAGTTGGGGGCTCTGTGGCCAGTGTAGCATGTCAAAGTTCCAAGATTGGGATTTCTCTGAAGGTTGCAGGTTCTCCATTTTGAGATGGGAATGGTGTTGTTAATACTTCTGATAAAGGCACTCTGCCAAACACATTGTGCGCATTTTCTCATTTAATTTTAGCCACTGCTGTTCTCCCAGTGGGCTTCCCAGGTGGCACTACTGGTAAAGAACCCGCCTACCAATGCAGGAGACATAAGAGATGTGGGTTCAATTCCTGGGTTGGGAAGATTCCCTGGAGGAGGGCGTGGCAACCCACTCCAGTATTCTTGCCTGGAGAGTCCCATGGATGGAGGAGCCTGGTGAGCTACAGTCCAAAGGGTCGCAAAGAGTCGGACACTACTGAAGCGACAGCGTGGCATAGCGTATTATCCCAGTTATATATAGATGAATCCAGGGGGATTAAGGGAGACCAGGGAGGTCCAAGGTCACACAATGACTAAATGAGGGCGCCAGATTTTTAAACCCAAAGCCTATAGCTTTCACTGATGTGCTAATAATGTAGCCTAAGTATAGATGCATTAATCTCATCTAGGACAGACTTGCAGGGGAAAACATCAGCTTGGCAAAGATAAAGAGGATTTACCTCTTCATCATTCTTCTCAAAATTACTTTCAGAAACTTGTTGGTGGGCCAGTCAGACTCCAATTGCCTAAATAAAAATAGACCAGGAGTTCTTTAACATGTTTAAGGAAGTTAAGGAAAATTAAGTATTATTTAAAAATTATATAGATTTATTTTAAAATGAATATAACATTCAGAAAAATTGAAATTCATGAAAAAAGATTACCTGCATCTCACACTTAGTTTTGCTGGTTACTTTGGACACTTTTGTGTTTTTCTTTAAAAATATTTTTTGAATTCATCTAGTCTTTAGATATTTTCATAGTATCTCTAAAATGTTGTCTCCTGCTTCCTGGAGTAGGAAGTGGCAACCCGATCCAGTATTCTTGCCTGGAAAATTCCATGGACAGAGAAGCCTGGTGGGCTGCAGTCCATGTGGTTGCAAAGAGTCAGACACATACTGAGCGCATGAACATGTGCACACACGCCCCCACCCCCCCCAGAAAGCATATGTACAAGTATTTGCATGGACATATGCTTTCTTTTCTCTTAGGTAAACACCTAGGAGTGAAATGGTTGGATTGAGTGGCAGGTGTGTACTTAGCCTTTTGAGAAATTATCAAATGGTTTCAAAGTGTTTGTGCCATTTTACATTCCCATCAGCAATGTCTGAGAGTTCAGTTTCCTCCACAGGAACTAGTCCATAGTATCTGAACTATTGACTTGTATGAAGTACGAGGAGAAGTTTGTAATAATCTGATTAATTTAAGCTGTGTAGACCACCCAAAACTGGATTCAGATTTAAAAATCAACTTTGAGGTTCACACAGTCCAAATTTACTGAGAAAAGCATTTGAGTAAATGCGATCATTATTACAGAATCCACTCCATCAGTGTGGTTAAGATCTTTTTATACAGGGATCAGAAGATGTTACCCTGTCATTCTCAATGCTTATAAAGTCTGTGACTCCACCCCCACCTCCCACCAACCCCGTTTTGGGATCAGAATCTCCCCTGAGACACCATAAACTTCTGGTGTGGGTATGAATCAAAGGGAGCTTGTCAAATGTACAGATTTCTGGCCACCTTCCTCTGGATTCTGACTCAGTGATCTGGGTATGGGCCTAGGAATCTGCATTTTCATAGGCACTGGAATTGAGTCTGTTGGGCACACTTTGTTATATCCTGCTGTTGTAATTTCTGGGACCACTTGTTTGCAATATGGTGGCATTATTGTAAGCATTTTCAAGTGTAAGGTACTGTTCCAAGTGAGGTTTCTGATCAGCAGCCCAATCAGTATATGCCTCCTTATGGTTTATTTTCACTTTCTGTGTTTTTGGATTGTTCATACATTATAATTAGACTGACTCTGACCAGGATGAAGATCATTTCAGCTCTCATCTTCCTTTCTGCTCTTTAAAAAAAGAAAAAAAAAAAAAAACCCCAAAACCCAGTAAGCCAGAACGGTGAGGGCTTCCCTGGCGGCTCAGATGGTAAAGAATCTGCCTGCAATGTGGGAGACCTGGGTTCGATCCCCGGGTTGGGAAGATCCCCTGGAGAAGGGCATGGCAACCCACTTCAGTATTCTGGCCTGGAGAATCACCATGGACAGAGGAGCCGGCAGGCTACAGTCTGTAGGGTCGCAGAGTTGGACACAATTGAACGACTAAGCACACACAAGCCAGAACCCATGATAAAATGTATGGGAGTAAAGTAATATTTTCATGTGAGATAAACCTTTTTTTCCCCCAGATTAACTGTTTATCCCCTTAAGAGTTTTTAATGCCGATTTCATTCACTTGAGTAGTGCAGTCACTATCAAATACACTGTTGGAATATTTGTTTCTGTTAACCATACAGTGAAGTTTAAATAAAACTTTGCTTTTCTCTTTACAATTTACTCTGCTTAGAATTATTTTGGTGGAAAACTCTCTGCTCAAGGGAAAATGCCTTGGATTGAATATAATCATGAAAAAGTTTCCGGGACAGAATTCATAATTGACTTTCTGGAAGAGAAACTTGGAGTGAATTTAAACAAAAACCTTGGTCCTCATGAACGAGCCATCTCCAGGGCAGTGACTAAGATGGTGGAGGAGCATTTCTACTGGTGAGTCCCCCCGGGTGCCTGGGCGGGTGTCCAGGGCGTGCCCCCGTCCTGTGAAGCAAGCCAAGTTGTTTCACATTTCAGCTCCCCCTCCCCCACCGCCGCACCTTTTCCAAAGTGTTCTACATTCTGACTGACTTAGGGGTCAAACTAGGACTGTTAAGTCCCTAGGTATCTAGAGCAGAATTGACATTTTCTGTTGAGGCCCAGCTAGTACATATGTTAGGCTTTTTGAACTACATTTGTCTGTGGCCACTACTTAATTCTGCGGTTTTAGCGCAAAAGCGGCCATAGATGATACACACATGAATAAGCATCACTGTGTTTAAATAAAACAACAAAAGCACTGACATTTGAATTTCATTTAATATAAAATACTGTTCTTTTGATTCCCCCCCCCCCCAGCCATTTATAAATATGAAAACTTCTTAGCCCTTGTGCGATAGTTCCTTACCCACAATCTAGGTCACTGAAAGGAGGGAGATAGACTGGGCTTTTTACAAATACAAACTGCTGAATTAATGTTGCATCAGATACTCAGAGGAGGGAACAGGAGACTAAGGCAGATAGAAGTCTCTGGTGAAATAAATTATGCAAGCTTTGCAGAGTATTGTCAGTTTTCCCTGTATGACAAGAGTTTCTCCATGATCCAGAAGTAAAGCTTACTACTGTTTTCTGAGTACCTTTGCCTTGATTGGCTGACTTCGAGCTTGTACTTTGCCCTGATTGGCTGACTCCTGGCTTGTACTTTGCCCTGATTGGCTGACTCCTAGCTTGTACTTTGCCCTGATTGGCTGACTTCCAGCCCATATCCCCTGGGTTTGAAGGATTGCACACACTGTGTGGGTTAGGTGCCCTGTTTTGCAGATGGTATGCTGCTGTGACATTGTGTGAGTTAGGCAGACTTGGTTCTTCTTGCTTTACAATCTCATTGAAATGTGGGGTGTTTTTTTTTTTTTTTTCCATTTATCTTCTGGAGTTTTAGCCCTTCTGTATACTCCAATAGGTAAAAAATATTTTTTCCCTCATTTCTGCACTTTATCTTGTTCCAAAGATTTAATAAAGAATTGCTGAGTCCACTCTTTCTGGGCATCAATTGTTACTCCTAGGTCACTGCTCACTGAGTAGCTTTCACCTCTTCCACTGAGAGATACATTCAATGTGGGGTTGATTGTAGGAAGTTCTTTGCCATCACATTCCTATTTCATACATTCAGCTCTTTCTAAATGGAAACCTTGTCTCTTGAATTTTGTACATTCTTCTTTTTTGCTTATTCTTTTTCCACTTTCAGTTCTTGCCCACTTTATTCTAGGACTGACCTGGAGCATCACTTTCTTCTCTGTCTCACTGTAGAGTTGAAGGGGGTGGGAGGAAGGAGGGAGTCAGGCAGAGTGGCGGCAGGGGTGCAGATCAGTGTGGGAATGATCACAGACTCCGTGTGGCCTGTTCTTTACAATACTCGTGGAGAACTGCTGGCCCTTCCCTCTCAAAGAGTGCAGGTGTTGCAGTGTGGACCGAAATGCGTGAGTGCAGGTGACACGCTTAGCCTCAGGGAAAAGCCCTTGGGGGACAGAGTCATCTCACTTGCTCGCTGGGGGTTACAGGTCCCGCTCTGCAGTGATCAGGAAAATGAAGAACCAGCCTAGGGCCATCCAGGCTCTCTGAGCCTTCCCTTGCTGAGCCGCCCCCCACCCCCCACCCCCAAGTGCTCCTTCATTTGATGGATGGACCCATTAATAGGAACAGCTAGCACTTTTTCAGCTGCCTGAAAAGCTGAAAGCCTTACAGTTAAGTTGGTATGTTTGCGACACTCTTTGATTTCTGCGTGTGCTAAGTGTGCGTGCGTAAAATTTATATTCAGCTTAGAAACACTTTGATCCAGCAAGACTTTCAAGTACCACCTGTCACTGCTTCTTGCTCTGGGTATTAGTGACGTGTTATATATGTTTACTCCCTGATAGAAGTTCATCTTCTGTTCTTCCCTTCTCTTCTTTTCCTCCTGATGTGATGAAGGGGCAGGGTGTGGTGGGGAGGGCTGGGAGGGAGCCTTGGGAGGTGGTACTCCAGTGGGTGAGGATCTGAATTTTACAGATCACACACCCCCAAGTGCTTGGGAAGTTGCAAAGGTCATATGTAGATTCTTCTCTTCTTAATTAAAAAATAGTAATTTTTCATTAGGACTTTAAAATTTTTTTATTTTTTGAGTGTGCTCGTTGCTGGGTGGGTTTTTCTCTAGTTGTTAGTGGGGCTACTCTTGGTTGCGGTGTGTGGGCCTCTCGTGGCGGCTCCTCTTGTGGCGCTCGGGCTCTAGGTTGCAAGGGCTTCAGTAGTTGCAGTTTCCAGGCTCCAGAGCATAGGCTCGATAGTTGGGGCACGAGGGCTTAGTTGCTCTGTGGCATGTGGGATCTTCCCGGATCAAGAATCAAACCCGTGTCTCCTGCACCTGCAGGTGAACTCTTTACCACTGAGCCACCAGGAAATCTCTTAATTAGTACTTTTAAATTAAAATACAAACAGCTTACTTTTGGGGGTTAGTTACTGTTTCTCATTTGTGTCTCCTCAAGCATTAATTTGAGAAATGAATAGTGAAGGTGGGAGGTGAAGTCTTGATGGAGATACAAATATCCAAAAAAAAAAAAAATTCTAGTTCCTCCAATTTCTTTTAGTCTTCAGTAGCAGAAGGAAAAACAAACTTTCTCTGTTTAAGTTTCCAACTTTTAGCTAACTTCTTGCTTTGGGGAGATCCTGAACAGCCTTTCTTGAGAGCTCTAAATCCCAACACCCACCCCCTCTACCCAGCGCAATCCATGGTAAGAAAATGCATGCCTGTAGAAACCGAGGGCCAGCATAGGGAACTGACCACAGTATGTAGGAAAATATTACAAGTATGAGCTTTCCGTGAGAGCTTGTTGAATTTTCACCATCCATGAGCTCTAAGGTTGTGTTTATACTTACAGAAGTGTAACAGGGAGAATTAATTATTTGACTCAATTGATTCAGTTATCTGGAGTTTTCAGAAAGGTCTGTCTTGCTCTGAAACTTTAAAAATACTCTACTTCAGATACGATTTTCTGAAAACAAAGACTCCTGTCATTATATAATGAAAACTTGATCTAACATCATATAATTCTGAAGCTCTGAATTAGGCCTTTACAAAAAGCACACTCAGCTATAAAGTGGTTTTTTCTTGCACTTGAAACCCATACAATTATATCCCACTTGCATTATAAATGCTATTATTGAAGATGAAGGAGACAAGTTTTTTATCCCCTTTATTTCACTGGATGCTGAAGTTAAGTGCAGGGAAGCCAGAATAAAGCAGAGTCTGAGAGACTTGGGGTCAGATTACTGGAATGAAATTGTTTTGATGACAGATGCTCTAACGGCTTCTAGATGACATACTGTCCCCTTGTGGACACTACTGAGTGTCGTGTGTGTGTGTGTGTGTGTGTGTGCGCGTGTATGTGAGCAGCTCAGCTGTGTCCAACTCTTTGCGACCCCGTGGACGGTAGCCCACCAGGCTCCTCTGTTCATGGAATTCTCCAGGCAAGAGTACTGGAGTGGGTTGCCATTTCCTTCTCCAGGGGATCTTCCCAGCCCAGGCAATGACCCTGGGTCTCCCATGTTGCGGGCAGATTCTTTACCTTCTGAATCACCAGGAGTGTCTTAAGCTCTTCTAATCTCAATGGTATCGGGTACCATTGTCAAACTCCCTATAGTCATAACAGTTTCACCCATAAAAATAGATGTTAGAAAAGAGGATTCAAATCACTTCTAGGTTGGCTATAATTAATTTTTCCTGTGGACTATTTTTTAAAGTCTTTATTGAATTTTTTGCAATATTTTTTCTGTTTTATGTTGTTTTTTTATCCCCCCCCCCCCGCCACCAGAGGCATGTGGCATCTTAGTTCCCTGACCAGGGATCAAACCTGCATCCCCTGAATTGGAAGGTCAAAATTTTATTTATTTATTTATTTATTTTATTATTTTTTTTTTAGGGATTCAGGTTTTATTTTTGAGTTAAGGTTTTTCAGAATAAAAGGACAAAGTCTTAAGCACGCAAAAGAGAATTTCTTAGACAAAGCAATATCACTAAAAGTGCAGGGAAGCATCCCTAGGCTGTCTCAAGACTTGAATGTCCCTTGTCCCGAATGTGAAAGTCATACCTAGCTATTTTGCTTTCCTTTCAGTGGGTGGCTCAAGGGAGTGAGATGAGGGGAACCATCAACAGGAAGATAGTGCAGGAAAATGAAGTCAGTTTTGCAGGATTATATTTGTTTCCATCTAGAGACACACTTCCTGTTTAAATGCTACAGCCATTTCAGAACATGAAATTCATCCCCCTAAAAATAATTTTCAAATAAACACAGACTGTGCAGCCCACAGAAGCTACTACAGGTTACATTGGTTTTTTGCCCCAACTCCTATACTAAATAAGGCCTAGTTACTGAGGAGTAGCAATGGCCATTTATCCCACTAGTCTATGGGCAAATGTCCCATCTGAAAAAAATCTCCCTCCTCCCTCCTCCCCACTACCCCTGGGGATGTAGCCAGGGAGCCTTGGTTAGCAACTGTTCTCAGGTCAGAAGGTCAAATTTTAATTACTGGACCACCAAGGAAGTCCCATTTTTAAAAATTTTGAGTTTGACTCTTGGTGAGTGGGAGAGATGGGATGCTTTAATAGAAGGACTTACCCGAGATTTTCTCTAAAAGCCAGGGGACTCTGTCTCCTTGATTACAACTCGATTGAAGTGGTCCCCTCTCCTTTCTGTTTTGTATCCCTCCCCCCAGTTTTAGATGCAGTGAGGGCCCCGTTCAAAGAGGCATTTCTAATACTGTGAAAGGTGGTGAAATTACGAAGCACACCATGTGCTCCTGCACCCTACAGCATCTGGAGTACAAGTGAAAGGTGACAAGGAGGCAGTGATGTGACCAGGAAAAGGGCGTTCTCATGGTTGGAAAGGCCACATGCTGAGATCCATTCAGCAAACAGTAGGTTTGCA